ACTCAATTCAGCATGTAGTGTCCGTGTTTGTATGTGCTGTCTGCGTCACTCATAGCACGTGCCTATATCGTGGCGCTATATCGAACATTTTTTATATCGTTATCGAAGAAGGTGTACCGTCGATAAATATCGATACAATTTTATCGCCCAGGCCTACCCTCAAGCCATCCTAGGTGTATATGGCTTTCTTCTTTCAGATGAATACAATTGGAGTTACATTAAAAAAATGTCCTGATTATTCCAAGCTTTATAATGGCAGAGAATGGGTGATATTCAATAGTCCAATAGAAATCCAATAAAGTGCATCCATTAGGGGTGGAACGGTTCGCAGAAAAAGATCGAACCATACGGTTCTCCACACACGGTTCGGCACGCGATAGGACTGCGGTTCAACTTAAATCTGACAACGCATCTGTAATATGGTTTGCTATAAATAACACGTAAAACAAACAGGGTTCGGCTAATATATGTTTCTGTTGATGGATGCGCATTCTGGCTTCCCAATACATTACAACAACAGCGATGGAAAAAAAAAAAGAAACGTGGACAAACCATTCACTCTTGTTCAATGCGACTGCCGTATGCTGGTATATGAGCAGTCATTTATTCCGTGAGAATATTGCTCGAAGAATATTCTCTTATTCGGTGAGACCTGAACAGCACACGTTGATATCGGTGTTTAAGCTAAACTCATTTAAGCTTTGCCAGTTTAAACATTTAAGAGCCAGAGGACGCAAGCTCACACACGCAGTGAGAAGATATTAAGCTTTCTCTGAAGTATTGTGTTTAAATGGATAAATTCACACAAAAATTATGTCAAATCTTGCCGATCTTGGTAAGTATCCTATAGCAGACATAGCTGGCTGAACGTACTGAACGTGATACAAACCGAACTGGGAGTAAGTTGAACCGTTGCACCCCTAGCTTCCATCCATCATAAAAAGTGTAAGCTCCGGTGAGAAGTGACGAATGCAGAAGCGCAGAGGAGAGAGCAAAGTATAAAACGAGGATTTGTAAATAAAAAAGTCTGGAGGATTTTGATTTAAGCCAAGAGGACACTGATTTTCCTTTGCTAAACAAAGAAATGTTGCTTCCTTTGCTCCTGTAAACAAAACAATGGTTCTCGCGAGA